CGAATAATCCTAATACAATTCAGGTGAGCTTATATCAATTCTTGAATTTTCATAATTATTACAGTAATTTTTGTAATCTGATAAATTTCATAATATTTTCAAAATTATTTTCAGGAAAGATTAGATTTAAAAAAATGGACAACCATTCTATCTGGTGCTTCCTTACCAAAAATATCCATTCAGCAAATGGTCAAAGGTCGTGAAATGGGTAGACGTGAAATACCAATAAATTATCATTTATCATCTATGCCAAATACATCAAGTGCATTAAAAATACCAATAAATTATCATACATCATCTCTATCAAATACATCCAATGTTTTTACGCTTAATGAAAAAGCTAACCTTATCAATAGGTTAATTAATGATGATTAATTTAAATTTTAATTAAGCTCAAAAAAAAAAGATATTTGTAATGATAAAATACTATAATAATAATTGTTTAATTGGAGGAATTTTTATAGCTAAACAATTGCATCTTTTTAATTAAATATTAAATTTCTTATGTATTTACTCAAATTTTAATCTTATCAAATTTCAATTTCAGATTTCTTCCAAATAAATGGAAAGTTATTGATAAGCTTAATTCAGGATTATTTCGTTGCATACATTTACCTGAAGAGAGACTTGTTGCTATAGGACAAGGTGACAAGGTTTTATTAGCTATAGGAATATTTTCATTTTATTTATTTCTCTTGAACTAAAAAAAAAAAAAAAAAAAATTTTAAAATTGCTAAAAATCAATGAAATAAGAAAAAAGTTATTAGTATGAAAAAGTATAATGTTTTTACTCAATTAAATATTCTAACTTATAAGAAAACGTTTTAAAATTCTGAAATTCACAATTATAATATCAATAGTTGAAATTTGAAAATTTAAAAAACTTTCATCAACAGAGTTTTTTTTTTTTCAGATAAAAATTTACGTTTTTATATTCGTCAACCATTGCGTTATCAGTTTATCACTCAGGAACCTGTTCCAAATAATGGATTTATTACTGATTTTGTTCGTAGTACAAAAGGTGATCAATTAGCATACACAACCACTAATGCATACGGTATCCTTTTTATTATATCATCATTTACTAATAATATCTGTTCATATCTAATAACATTTTTTTATCTTTATCACTAATTTTGATAAATATCACATCATCTTTATCACTAATTTTGATAATATCACATCATCTTTATCACTAATTTTGATAAATATCACATCATCTTTATCACTAAATTTTGATAATATCACATCATCTTTATCACTAATTTTGATAAATATCACATCATCTTCATCACTAATTTTGATAA